TCACCAAATCCTTTTAATTGTCAATCTCTGGGTTATATTTTGGATCTGTCCATTTCTCTTATTTTCACAATTCCCACCTTAGTTCCAGACACACTCATCTGTTAGCATCTGTATTGTGCAATACCTCCCACTTGGTTTCTCCACTTTCACTTCAGCTTGAACAGCACAGCCTTTACAATTGCCCAGAAACATCTCTAATTGGAAACCAGATGAAGTCTCTCCACCTTACCCCAGCACCATCTTATTGCAAAATGCAAGGGCCTCCACGGTCTTCATACTATGTTCAGAATAGTCAGAATTGTTAGCATGACTGAGTCCGGCTCCCAGTCTCCAGTTACACTGCCAGTACCTCTCTTCCTCACTCTAAGTTCCAACCCCAGTTCTCTTTTTGTTCTTAAATGGGCTGAACATTTTTGCCATATAAAGTTATCACACATGATAACTTTATCTCCTTTCTCTCCTGTTGTCATTCTTTTCTCCATCCCACATAAGGAAACTTTTTCTTACTTCTCTGTTTTCTTATTAAATCTGAACTCTTCCTTGACCATCATAACATTTTCTGGTTATTCACTCATCTACATGATAATACCTGCTTTTCATCTTTCATAAAATATATTTGAGTCTACAATTAAATAGATAATGATGACAGATTATAGATAGATACATGGATGGAAGGAAGGTAGGAAGGAAGGAAGGAAGATAGATTGCTGTCATTTACTTGTTTAATGTTTGCCTCCCCTCTTAGACAATTATACTGCAATCTCCATGCATCTATTTCGTCCACTGTATCCTCAAGTTCAAAGTACTCAATAGGGCCTCCCAGATGGTGCAATGGGTTAAGATGCAACCTATGAAGCTATCCTCAGCCACTGCAGCACGAGTTCGATCCCTGGCCAGGCAGCTCCCCACATGGTGCAGCAGACCCTTCCTGTCTCACCCACTGCTCCCCTCAGCAGTGTATTTCAGTCAGTCTGCCTGCTTTGTTCCCCCACTCTGTCTCTGGTGAATCTCCTCACCCCCAACACCTCTGCCTGTAGCCCAGTTCTTGTATGCATAAATAAATAAATCTTAAAAAAAAAACAAAAAAAACCACAGTGCTCAATACAAGTCTTTGAATGAATAAAATATACCTTTTTCTTTTTTGATCATTTTAACTTCTGTAACTAATTTGTACATATTACCTAATTATTTTACTTAGCTATCTAAAACCTACTTCCTGACTACTTTCTACTAGATGCCAAGAAGAATGCAAGCAATAACATCTCATCGACCTCATTTTCACTGGAAAGTGCTAAGAAAACAACAGGGCATTTTCAAATGCTACAATGTGTTTTTAGCTCCCATTGACCAGTGAATCTCTGATACCCCAACAAATAATCACTTTCTAGTTTTATTAAAATTTTTATGAAATTGCATATTCATTTATTATCTGTCATCAAAAATAAGCAGACAGTTAAGCTTGCTTTTCTACTGCTTGCATCCTGAACAAAATTAAAGGTCCATTCAAACCTTGTTTTAATATATGAAGTAGAATAGGTAACTTTTCATCACAAGTATACATAAACATTTTTCTTGTGCTATTTCACTCCCAGCTTCTAGCCAAAACATTAAAAAAGTCTGTTCTTGCAATCATTGCAGAATTTCAAGCCTTAGTCAAAGAAGAAAGCCTAAAAATCTTTTCAGAAATCCTGTTTGGGCGCTATTCCCAGCTTAATTTTGCAAACCAAGATGTTTGGGCAGTCCTGGTATGCTGGGAATAAGCAGTTGAGGATTTTTATCTGAATCAAACCCAAACTCCAACCCTAATTAAAATACCACAACATTGTTAACTCCTTGACTATGTTAGACATCAGTTTAGTTCAACTAATTCCACTTCTGGAATATAGCCTCCCATTTATGTTCCTGCTGATTGCTTATATTTTCATTTCAGCTTTCCCATTGCTTTTCAAAGGACAGAGTATTGTTCCACTTTCTGTTGCTATGCAAATAACTCTGAGGTTACATAAAAAAAGCCAGATTACTAAAGCCATATAACACAAATATGGTGACAGGAGCTACTGTTGCTGCTGGGCTTTCTGTTTTAGCCATTGTTTCCCCACTGATGACTAAGGATGGTGCAAAAGATATTTTGTGACACTTTATATTGTGTGTGTATAAATGTATGTGCATCCATATACACACACACATTGGCAAATGAATTTACTGTCAGCATTCAAGTTCATAGTTCCCTATACAGGAAACATGAACTGCAAAGATACTGTAAACTCTGTTTAAAGGACTGAGTATATATGTTACAGATGCTTAGAAGCTATCAGTCTATAAGAACATGCCCTAAATTCTTTGAAATTCCATCAAAGAAAATCAGCAAAGGACACACACTCTCTGTCCATCTCAAGGAATTTTTATATGTACATCAACTTTTTGATCCTGTTCCCTTCAACACTTCTGTAAGGCCCTAAATTTCACCTTGCATTACCTGTTGCTAGTAGTGCTGCTATCCCCTCAATACTATTTTACTCAGGGTTTTGGAACCTTGTATAAAAGCCAAACATGAAGTGACAAGAGAAAACAAAGGAGTTTCAAAGTGAAAATTGAGTATGATCTTTTGCCATAAGAGAACAGTGCCATTTTCCTATAAAATTAGAGCATCTATATGCTTCTTCTCCAGAGAATTACAAACATTAGTTTTATTTTAAAGCTAATAGGAATTCTAAAAATATCCTCCAGAAATAGCATAGGGAATTCCCAGATCCTAAATATAAATAATTCCCTCTGATCATAAACTGTGTTAAGGCAAATAGTTGTTGATTCAGTGTCTCTCCTAAATGAGGGCCATAAAACAATAAGGAAAAGTCAAAAGACCCTCTCTCTTTCTCTAGGAGCTTACCTTCTAGTTGGGAGGACAATTAACAAACAAATGAATAAATATGGTATATAGTAGGCCAGAGGATAAGTGCTATGGAAAGAAATAGGGCAGGGAAATAGGACAGGACTGGGCCAGAGGTAGAGGGGTTTGGGCAGTGGATGGAATTTTAACAGCCTGATCAGAAAAATGTTCAATACATCAACTATATTTCCTAAGAATCCTGAAAGGGGCCTCCCTGGTGGTGCAAGAGGTTAAGACACAACCTATGAAGGGGTCCGCAGCCACTGCCGCACGTTTGATCCCTGGCCAGGGAGCTACCCACACGGCGCAGCCAACCTCTGCTGACTCTCCTGCTCCTCCCCTCAGCAGTGTATTTTGGTCAATCCACCTATTCTGTTCCCCACTCTGTCTCTGGTGAATCCTCTTACCTCCCAAACCTCTGGCCTGTACACCCAGTTCTTGTTTGCATAAATAAATAAATCTTTTAAATAAAAAGAATCCTGAAAGAGTCATGCAGGTAGAATATCTGGGAGAAGGACATGGTAAGCAGAGGGACACGGGAATACAAAGACCCAAAAGAGGGTGCATACCTTATATGCTGAAAGAAGAGTGAGCAGCCCGGAAAAGCTTAAGGTAAGAGAGTTAAGGAGAAAGTGTAGGATGCATGACAGAGGGGATAGGAGAAGGGAAATGAGTCCAGGTAGGGCCTGGAAGTCAGTGTAAGGACTTGGTAGTTGTACTTTACTCCGAATGAGATGGAAGCCATTGAGGATATGTTAGTTCCTTTGGACTTTTTAACAAAGTGCCGCAGACTAAGTGACTTAACATATTTTCCCTCTGTTAGTGCTGGAGATCAAAAGTCCAAAAACAAATTTGCTTTTTGGCAGCTCATGGAACCCTCAAAGATTCTAAGGGAGATTCCTTTCTTGACTTTTTCTGCTTTTTGTGGCCACACACACTCCTTAACTTTGGACTAAATACTCCATTCTCTGCCTCTTCACATAGCCTTCTCTGCGTCACGTCTTCTCCTTTGCTGTCTTTTCTAAGGACACTTGTCATTGGATTTAAAGCCTATCCAGATAATCCAGAGAGATGTCAATTCAAGAGCCTTAACTTAATTACAAGAAGTTACTTGAGGAGGGAGATTGCACAGCAGAATCCAAGAGACCATAGGGCACACAGTAATTCAGTTACACATTCTAGGTGAGTGACCTATATCTGAACAACAGTAATGAAGGTGGTGGAACCATTTAGATTCTACACATATTTTGAAGGTAGAGGTGACAGAATTTTCGGAAGATTACACATGAGAAGTAAAAGAAAAAGCATCATCAAGGGTTCTTGCAAGATTCTTGATCTGAATATTGGGGAGCGATTTTTGTGTTAATTTATTTTCTTACATCATTGTCAATTTTTGGACCATATTTGATTTCTCACCTCAGGTATAGTCTCTGTAGTTCTCCAACCACCATGGAACCTGTGATTGATCTCAGGGAGTGATTTTTGATGTACGTAGTAGGAATGCCTCCTTTCCTATAAAGCTTTACATTGCCAGGATCAAGGTCATTAACTACCTGTTTTTTCCTCCTCCAATAAGTCTCAGGTAGGATATGATTTCCTTTTGGCCACCATCCCTGAGTTTTAAAAGATTGGATTAATCTGTCTTTATGGTCTGCACCCTAAGTTTTTCACCATCCTAGCTCTTTTTGTCATTTGTCTTAGTTTGATTTCATGAACTGTTAAGGCAGAATTCCATCAGGGAAGCAGGCATCACTCAGAAAGGAGAGGGAAGTTCTTTCTTAATGCTGGTGGGCTCAGAGCAGATCCTTCTCCAAAGTCTGAGATCCAAGTAATTAGGGAACTGGTTATTTACTACCTAAAGAGGGGGTTACATTATCAATTTAAAGCCAGCTGATATACAGAAGCAGGAGACTTCTAAGTGGTTATCTGGGGTGTATGTGTCAGGCTTGTGGCCTTGAGATCCTTTATCAGTAACTCTCTAGAACTTTCGGTCTACAGTGAGGCTTTGTTTCAACATAACTTTAGACATTTTCCACTTGAGAACCACCTCAAAATACTTTAAAGTAAAATTATTAATTTAGCTCATGATTTTGCAAATGGACAAATGACTTACCTTGGCTGTGCTTCTGGTCTGGGCTGAATGCTGATCTTGACTGGACTTGCTCTAGTAACTACAGTTAGCAAGTGTTCCAATGGGGGCGTCCTGATTCATAATGACCTCAGGAGCGATGACTGAGATAACTGAAGTCCTCACCCACTGTGGTCTTCCCTCCTCTACCCACTGGCCCGAGCTTGTTCACATAGCTGTCAATGGACTGCAAGAGTATGAGAACAGAAATTGCAAGATCTCTTGAACTTGCTAAGTTCAAAATTAGCATAATTTCACCTCCATCAAATTCTATTGATCAAAACAAGCCACAAAACCACTCAAATTCAAGGGAGGAGGAAATAAATTCCATGTATCTAGAGGAGAAGTTATCAGGTATTTTTGCAATTTTTGTAATCTATCAAATCATTTAATACAGTTGTTTGCTTTGGTTTCTACCCCACAAGCAAGAAAACTTTGGTTTCTACCCCTTACTTTGTAGCTACCCCATAAGCAAGAAAACAAGTTTCTCTTTGTTCACTATTTTATCTTCAGACAGTAGACACAGTGTACATATTTATTAGGAAATGAAGGAAAAGAATGAAGGCGCGAATCAATCGATAGACAAACTAAAAGGCAATTTTGTTGGCAAATATCATGCTTGCCTGGTCAGTCTCCATTTTCTTGAGTTCTGCATCAGAATTTCCATGTATTCAGTATGTAGAAACTGTATTTGCACTTGGGGCAAATTATTGCTAAATCTGAGATATAAATTAATGTAGGCATATGCAAGAAATGGTAAAAATAAACATTCTTAATTTTTTTAAATATTCACATTTGTGAAATAACTTTCTAAGGAGTTTAGAGACTCATTTGCTTTATATCAACTGAGAACAATGATTTTTTTTTGTTTGAAACAGTTGTATTTTTACATTCAAGTTAACAGTATACTTACTTTTTGAATTATAGTGGGTGTTATATAGATCCTTTTTTCTTTAAATTTCTGAGTTGAGGTAAATCTCTTCTTTGCTTAAGTTATCTGGATCTTTTTTTAGGAATGTCTCACAATAACCAGGTTATAAAAGGATCCTTCTATTCCTTATTAATGTCACCTTAGAATCTAAAATGCAAAGAATTTCATTAATTATGTTACACGTCTGTTGCTCAACAATGCCATTGTCTGGGAAAATTCCAGTGTTTTACAAATGGAATACAGAGGTTAGTTTTTATCTTTTTTTCATTGGAAACATATAAGTGCCTTGGTGATATAAATAAGAATTGAAATTAAAGTCTTTGTACCCAAGCATTTTCACTAATAACTTCACTCCAAAGCCTCTATCTATTTTTCTCTGTTGCTCTATACACCACAAAGAATTTAAACTACCTACCAATAAGCTCCTGCTGGACTCTCTTACATCTTTCAAACCCTCCTTAATGTGAACTTCTTTCAGCACTGAACCTGAACGTCTTCCAGAGTCTTATTGATCCAAGTACATCAACATGTTGTTTGTGCTGCTTGTCTGTCTGTTGCAGTTAGTCTAATAAGTCTATTGGACTATTCAATTCTGAGTTTGGTAGTGTGCCTGTGTTTTCTACTCAGTACGCCAGAGCTATGGAAACAAAGTAGTAATCTGAGGAGCAATTCAGTGAGAGTAAGTCCTACTAACCTAAATCTCCCCACATAATCTTGTATTGTTTCAAGAACAAGAACATTTGGGAATTGGAAACATACTTGGGAGTTATCTTTATGCCCTCTGTATGTATGAAGAGTAGGAGGTCAGGTCTTTGGAAATCAAAGAGAGGAAGGAGAAAGAAGAAGAAAAGTAGCTTCTATGCCAAGTAAAAATTGTGACAGCTAGGAACTTGTATCTCCTGGCAAGCGGTCTGAGAATAGTTCAGAGTATAAGAGATTTATCAGGGACCCAAGCCTGTAAAAGTCAGATGATGGAAAAGGCAGGGTTGTGCAGAAAGCTCACGCCATAATGTGATCTGACAAAATCTTAACCCACCTAGAGGAGTCCTGTCCAGGACAGAAACGGACAGGCCGTAAGAGTCCCATTATGTTCATTGTCTAAGCGCTGTCTGACCCTGAGCATTGTGAAGATGCTAATTGCTGGAGGCTGTCAGAACCACCAGGCTTCTCTTGCAGGAAAATCCAAAGTGGCACACACCCTTAGCTACCTAGAGCTTTAAGTAGTTTTATGATATTTAAGAAAGGGCCAAATATTGAACCAAATATCTCTTCCCACCTTGGGGAGGGGTGGGGGGAATGAAGGACAGCAATCGAAAGATAATTTAAAAGAACCCTAATGTATTCAGTCATTCTGTTAATCAGCATAATTTTTTAATCATTTGTGGCTTAGGTGCCCTTTTTGGAGGTTTTTCTTGTCATTGTGTTTATGGGAAATTGACAGTTATTAATTGTTTTTAAGCTTGAACCAGTCCTTATTAGAATTCAAATATATTTCCCACTACTGGGTCCAATATCTATGTAATCATTTATCTTACAGTGAATTTTACTGTAAGTGTAATATTTACAAGAAGCAATTTGTCATCCTTGGGTTAAGTATAGAAACTTCAATATTTTCTGGATAAATATGTCAAAATAACTAAGATTCAAGCAATAGAAGAGAATGGGAAGCTTATAATACAGCATTTTATAATAGAGTCGGGAGGTTTGCTATTAGGTTTCACTCTATTATCATTATTGTTTTTGTAAATAAATATGATTTTGCAATTATTAACCATCAGTGGTATTAATGGCATTAATGCTAGTAATCTGTCTCACTAAGGATTTCAAAGTGCTGTGTTTTTTATACACTAAATGAGTTCCAGGGCTCTAACAGTGATTCCCTCCCTGATTTGCTACATCCCAAAGTCTCCAAACACAATTAATTTTAATTCCTATATGTATGTGCCATATAGCACTTTAGGGTAGAGGAATGGGGTGGCAAACCACACAAACAGTTTGGGGGTATTGCAACTCCTTAAAGATTTAAATCTCTAATTGGCAATATAGCTCCCTTTTCTAGCTGATGGTAGCACTCCTTGCCATTTAAAACACATCCTATGAATGTATTCCCAGGGCTGGGAGGTGTGGATGAATGCATGCACAAGGCTGAGGGAGGCAGAGAAAAAAGGTCCAAGCTGAAGCTCAAAAGTACCCACAATCTGTCCTGCTTGTGCCCTTCGTCTCCTGTCTGTGACTGCTCCTCAGTTCTCTTCTAACATTCCATTCAGTTCTCTCCTCATTTCCCACTAACCCTACTACTGTGCTCTGAGCATACTCAGTGATAGTCCCAGCTAACTGTCTCAGGTCACCCTGCTCTACCTGGAATACAACTGCAGCCTTGTCCTCCTTCCTCCCTTTGTTACCCAAACAACTCCTACTTTGACTTTGAGAGTCCCATCCAGTGTTGCCTAGTTTGTAAAGACCTTTGTCATTACCCCAACTGTGATTTGCCTCTTTTCCTCTGCTGTTAAATGAATGAATGAATGAATGATTCTTTGTTCTTCCAGCAAAGCATCAGGAGACAGCACCTCACGTCACTTTCTTGGCTCTTGCTTGCTGCAGGACCACTCACACAGAGCAGATCCAAGTAAACACAAACAGGGGTATAGCAGGATCCTTTTTAGGATTTCACCCCTGCACACTCTCATATACCAATTGAGCTTTCTTGCGCTCTTCACTGAAATATGACTATTCTTTCTTAGCTTTGCCAATCTTCAGCTAGTTACTAGAAGATAGGATCTCTGATGAGATCATTAAAACTACTCTGAATTCATGTGTTACTCTACGTGTAAACTTGTGAATGTGTTCATTCTGACAGTGGTATGTGAATTAAGAAAGAGAATGGGAAGCCAGTAAAACATATAAATGAACCCCTAATGGTGGCATTTCAGGAAATAGAGGAGGACAGATGGGAAGATATTTCTGGACTGGGAGCTTCTGGGTGCCCTTCACATTGTACCACGCAAGCCAATCCTTACTCCTGTACAGAAGGCTGGATCTGCTGCTACGACACCCTCTAGCTCTCCTGAGAATAGTACTTCTATTTCTGACTTTTATAAAAAGGTAGAGGAACCATTCCTTCTGGTTGTCAGCAACTAGGTAGAAGCTCTCCTCATACAATGGCCAGAAAAAGCTAGAACCAGAGATGTCTTTTTTCTGTACCTATATAGACACAAAAATAAAGTATTCCAGCTAGAGAGAGGCAATCAAGTTCAATGGAAACAGATTTATAATAATTATAACAGCTTACACTGATTACGTCTTTACCCAGGTATTATGTTAAGCCTTCCCTTTCTTCCTTAAGTCAACCATACAATAAAGGTCATTTTATTATTGCCATCTTACAAACAAGGAAACTGCCCATGTCTCGAAACTGATAATTCTTTGAGTAAGTACTGGGTGACCAGAAAGACAACTTAAATCCTAAATATACCTTCTGAAATATACTCCCTGGTATAGGAACGGGGAACCTAATTAAGCTTGCCTGTTCATACACAATTTAACTACTACTGGTAATTTTCTTGCAATCTTATATGTGGCAAGAAATTTACATTTTATTTCCATTTATTTAATACGGGTACAGAAGGTTTATAATTTCTGAATCCAATATTTACATCAAACAACTGGTATAAAAAATACAAATGTTTTCATATTATTTCCAATATTTTTTTCTACAAACTTCATGAATTAGCTAAAATATGTAAAGGATACTTTTCAAATATTGTGGGGAATATTTTAAAGGATATTGTAGGGCCTCTGAGTTCAAAGCGCTTACAACCTGGAAAGAAACATTAAGACTTCAGTAACATTCCAACTTCGACCTGTGTACAAACTGTGTCCAAATTGATATAGAAAACCTGAGAACTCACACCCATCCACTCAAAGAGCATTCAGACTATTATTGGATGTCAGAGACATAAAATAAGCATTGTCTTCACCCTTTTACTTTCAAGCAATTGTTTTCTAAACACTTACAATCTAAGTCTGCACACTTCAGAAATTCCAGAACTTTACTAAATCTCATGGAGATGTGTGTTGGCATTTTCCCTGAGATTTCTTTTCAAGTATCACTTCTGTCCATCAAGTCAAAGTTCCTAAGTAAATTGTGTTTAAATTCTTTATCTTTGCTGACAGGATGTGGATACCCAATAGCAGCAAAAATATAACTGGTCTCTTACTACCTTCTGGAAATATTGCTCACATGCTTATGTAAAGTGTTTTAATACCATTTGTTGAAAAATATTTAACCGGTGTCATTTGGTGCATACCAAGTTAATACTGGCTTCCCCAAGGCTATGATCAATTCAGTCAACCAGCAGATTTGACTGATTTATCCTTTGAATTGACTTGATTGCCTGGCTGTTTGGGCATCTGCAGACACCTTTACACAAAGAGAAGGCAAGCTTCACATTAACTTGCTAAATGAGGGTTATTCTTTTCTTCTTAGAGCTTCCACGTCCTTATTGAGTGACTGTTGGCAAGAGTTAAAATCATACCTCCACTTCTCATTTTTAAAAGGAATACAAATATATAAAACTCTGAAATGTGAACATAAAAGCAATAATAATTGCATATTTAAAGATCTATATAGTATAGAAAGAAGGTATTCTATTCTGTAATACCAACAAAGATAACTTGATGGAAATAAAACAACATAAAGAAATTTTTTAACACCCTTCTTGTACATATGGGTACTTTTGTATAATTAATCATTAATAAATTTTCAAGTACTATTTTATTTTTGCATTGCAAAAATAAAAGACTAGATCTTCGAAAGTTAAAGGAATTAATTTTGTTTTAAAAAATATATATTCTATTCAGCAAATTGTCTAGGTTCTTTCATTCCTTCATTGATATGTATACTAATCAAATCAAAGCTCTGATCTCAGTCAAAACTCAGTTTTATCCAAATTTGTTTACCTGGCTACAAATAAAAGATTTTCAGCCTACCACCTAAAATCCTGATGACAAAACAGAAAGAATCGTAAAATGTTCATAAAAATCAAATCAGATGGAGCATCAGCTAATCTGGGTATATTTTTCCCTATGATTAACCAGTTCTTAATGACAACATTTCTTATCTTACAACTGTGACATGAAGAGGGAGCTGTAGCTCTTCCGAGACACAGTTCTGCAAGAAGCAGCTTATCCACGCTCTCCGATCTCGTGTCTGTTTCTCTTTCTCTCTCCCTCTCTTGCGCTGTCCCTCATTCATTCACTCTTCCATCTTTTTGCCATTGTGCCAGCTCAATTTAAATGTATCTGCTCTGTATCTGTTCAAGTGGAGATAATCCATGCAAATCAGGAGCAGTGGCTTTCAATGCTTGGTTCACAGAGAGGACTCAGCTTGAGGAGGTCACTCGTTCACAGCCGCTCCTCCCATTATATTTTTCCCCTTATTGCAGAACTGCTGTATGTATACAGTGACTGAAAGGACTCAATTTACTGCAACTGCTGCCTGGCTTTACTTACAACTTTTTTTTTTTTTTTTTTTTTTTATAAAGGAACTTACCTCCATCTGTCTTTTCAAGGTAGGAAGTCTGATTCTTCTAAAGACGTGTGTAATGCCTCCACTGTCTGCTCATTATCAAATGTCACTTGAATGCTTTATATTGTTGCTGGCATTAGGAACAAATGCTGAGATTCCAGGTGCCTCACGCTTTTGTTACTTAACGTATAATACAATTGTTTAAGTGCCGGGTATTGTAATGTTTATTTTCCCTGCAGCCAGCTTCAGTTTTACAATGCCAGAAAGATTACAGTGTCCACATTCTAATCTAGAAATACAATCCTGCATCAAGTTTACCCTCTTAAAAAAAAAATCTCTCAGTGTGTTTTAACTTATCATGTATCCTGTCCAATAATAGTCAAGTGTAAAATGCAGCCGTGTTAAGGTTTGTTGTTTTTTTTTTTTTTTTTAAACCTGGAACCTTCCTGCAGCATTTTCTGTGAAAAAGAACTAACTGTTGAAATGTTTTTAACAACAGCAAGAAAAGGATAGATTTTACTTCATTCTGCTGCAAAGCAAGAAACTGAGGGCCTTATTACTAACAGGCCTGTCAAATAGATTTATTCTTCACAATTCATAAATTGTTACTAGGCTAGGCAGAAGTATTACAATTAGTTAGAATTCAGTTACTGTCACTGTACATGTTATCATTTATTGTTTTGAGATTGAAATTGCATTTTAAAAAGTTTAAATATAGCGAGACTGAAAGACAGCTTATATTCATATAATACAGTTTGATATCTTTTTTCATACTGATTTCAATAGCTAAAGGGCTATGTTTGGATTAAAAATGCATGCAAAAGGCTAACAGATTTGATGATATATGTGTTGATTTATGAGGGCAATTGCTGGACTTATATTACTTCATATGTATTTCCTTGAAGTTACTTATAATAATAGTTTAATCATTCCTTTGTCATTTCAATTCTAAAACATACTAAATGTCATAAAATTATAGCCTCAAAAATCTCTTTTTGATTAGTACAAATATAACTAGAACATGCTAGCTGTAAGTTAGATTTCTGTCTTTAAAAGCGCTCCTTATTAATAGAATTTTACATTTGTTACTTATTCTAAGAAGATTTGACATGTGACTATGACAGAACTATTTAATCTCTTGTATAGGATAGAATTGAACATAAATAGTAAGCAAAGTTGACAGTCTTGAAAAGAAGAAAAAATGATCCTCTGGTCTACTGAATACTTCTAATGACATAAATCTTAGATTTCATCTTCTAGGTAGATACTTGTAGTTAGTGGAGTTCAAGGGAAAAAATTTATTATCCACATAAAATATCTCACTGCCAAAAATGTGCAGTTCTTTTTCTTTTTGATAGTCTTTTTTTAAAAATGCACTCTGATTTTTGAGTACAGTACAAGGCATGAAACCCTGTCATTGTTAGCATAAAGAAGACATCTACACAAGTATTCCTGTACAGAGGGCAATCTTTTCTGTCTCTGGCATTTGTTAGGTTACTGTACATAGAATTTTACAGATAAATATGTTCTGCTTCGTGGCATTTTAGTGATCCTATTGGTATGCAAGCTACTCTGCTAAGATAGCAACAGAAAAATATATATATATATGTTTTATGGCAATGAGTAATAAAAGCCCTCCATAGTGAGAGAAATTTGACTTATTTTTTATGCAATAATTAGAATTTCTTTAAAACTCTCTGAAATATGAGTCGTAGAGTAAACTGAGGCTTCCCAGGAAGGGCTAATTGAATTTATCTATTCAAATCATGTAGTTGTCCATGAATATCTTCTTCCCAGACACTGTCACTGGAGGATTCCATTCACATCTTCAGTTTTACAGGGAAAGAAAAGGAATCGTCACTAATAGTGAGGGTGATTCTTTCGTATTTAAAATGAGTGTGAGACAACACAGGAAAACCTTAACAGATGGAAAGGTGTGTGGATTGCCTGGTTGCATGAACTTGAGACTAGTGTGAAACTAAAGGATGCCCTTTCAGAACAAAGGAACGCCATGCAATACTCTGTCAGCAGTCAAGCTGAGGATAGATAAAAAGTGTCCAGGGAGAGCTTTTGGGGACAGAGAAAGTGTAAACTACTAGGCAATCTCTTTTCAACAAAATTACCAGTATTTGCTAGTTCTGATGGTATTCCCCATGGGATCTCAAACCATTATTTTATAGGGTTATTTCAAAAGTACATATTTTATATACCTCTACATTTTTGCAGACCTTTTAGAAAACTCTTCAAAGACCTAACTTGCATGCCTTAAGTTAGATTTTACTGTGTATCCTGAGTAAAATGGTCACATCCTTCAACACCCACGGGTTTCTTTTGCTTCATCTGTAAGCTTGCCATATACCTCTAGTAACTCATTCAAGCAACTGCTCAAAATAAGTTGCATTTTACTCCATTTTAGTGTGCCTTGCAGCAGAATCTTTAGAACTGAAAAAGCTTGTAGCTGTATATAATACCATGATTTTATTCCCACTAGTCTCTTGCTACCATTTTTACTAAGTACAGTTAAAAAGATAAATTGCCATCTTAAAAAGATGTTATGGAAGGTGTTAATAAGTTCTCAGTAACTTCAGGAATGTTCTGTATGGCCAGAGAAACTTGCAACTCTGCTGGAGGGAAAATGATGTGCTTTATCAGCAGACATTCTATGCCCATATCATCTGTAGACATTCCAAATTTCTCAGGAAGGATTGTTTTATAAATTTCTAAGTCTTGTAACTCATTGCTGTATATGGATTGATAGTAATATTAAGTAAAAATTCAGAGGATGCTAATTTATCTGTGTATTAATTTAATCTGCATAACACTAAAAGGCCTATGAATCCATTATGTGCATTTCATAGATAAAAACATCAAGGTACAGAGAGGTTCTGTAACTTAGCCAAGGTCACACAGTTGTGGTAGAACTTAGATTTGAACCCATTTATTCTGATACTGGCTTCAAAGCATTCCACAATAATGCCTTCTTGGATCATTAACTCAAATGACTAAATATAAGGACATGCCCCCAACCCCAAAAAGCAAAAACATTTCTATTTACCCATTTGTCGTCTTGATTCAAATGTCAGATACCGATTTCCAGCTCTTCTCATAGTTCTTCACTTCTATCCGTATTGCCATAATAGTACAGATTTTTAAAAGTTTTTTTTTTTTTTTTCATTTAATGCATGCCAGGAATGGTTACTCTTGCTGAACATTTGTCTTTTACCTCAAGGAGTTAAGAACTAAATCAGATCTGTAATTGACTGACTTGTCTACTGACAGCCTTTGAAGCATAGCGCCCCCCCTTCCTTTTTTTTTCTGTCTAAAGAACAAGATTGACATCTCTTTATATGTTTAGAATTTTTCAGTGGTGTAAAGTGCTTGGTAATGATGGAAATTAACCTGAGGCTTTTTCTAACTACCTTTCCTAGCAACTCCATTGAAGTTCTGGTAACAATTAAAATTTCCATGCAAACAATTATTTCTATCAGAAAAAATACATTCTTCTATCTTGTCATATCTTTCTTTAACATCTCCTAGGTAGTGAAGGGAAAACCTTTTCCTTGCCTTCCTTTGCATTGGGCACATCTGAATAAAAATTTCCCCCAGTTGAAATATGCCAGCACAATAGAAAAGCAGATAAAGAAAACATGAAGTGAAAATGTATCTTTAAATGGTCAGACTCTGAAACATTGAACAGAGTTATCTGTCCTTGTGTCAGAAGGTGTTATCTCCTTAAGGAGAAATGAACAAGAACAGGTCCGAACAGCAAAGCATTTGTGACTTTTCTTCGGTTTATTTGGGCCAGTTTGAACCGTCTCCCACTGTTCAGAACATGAACTATTATACATGTATCTCATAGGATTCTGATTCAAAGGCTGTGTTCATTTGACCTTTGGATATCAAATTTGTAATGTAAACAAAAATCTGAACAGCATCAACACATAATAAAGTGGAAGAAGTGTGGGGACCATGGGTCAGCAGCAATTGAGCAAGCCACACATTTCTGGAGTAACGAATGAAAAACAATTTTGATGCCATTCGATGATACCAGCATTCTTTGTAGATCTTATTTGAAGTATCAGGCAGATGGACTGCCCTATATATCCAGAACCCCTATCTCCTGGCAGGCAGAAAGCCTGAAAACCTATCTTTAAAGTTATTGTAATATATCAGTTTTGCCAGATTAGCTAAGTTAGACATCGACCATTGGCACTGAAAAGGTTGGGAATTAATTTAAATTTCAGCTTACCCTACCATCATCTCTTGCTGAGTGAGAGAAGATAGGAAGACAGTCCTTTCAGATTTGATTTCTCCATTACTTAGTTGATATTCCTACCTTCAAAGAAAAAAGGGAGGGGGGTTGAAAAAGAAAAGCAGGGCATGGTGATTTTGAGCTATATGTGGATATAAACATTCAAAGAAGTTAAAACTGACCTAAAACCATTTAAAGACTGTTTCTCATTGCTAAATTCTTCAGCTGCATAACTGAGTTTCCTATCTGAAAAGACATCAATTTCCTGCAATTAAAAATAAAAGCAAAAAAATAATCACACTGCAGAAAGCTTAGGAAAGGAGCAAAAATATTCAGATAACTTAATTCTAAAATGTCTTAGCAATTGTTTAATACTGGACAGTTATCACTTCAGAGCTTAGAAATAAAACTTCAATAGCTAGTAAAATTCACAGTTGAGAAAGCAAAGCAAAAAATTTTCAGAGTCTTCAACACTGGAATGTTAAAAAAATTGCGTATTTGTAATTGTTGTTATACATGTTACTTTCCTATCTACCCTCGCCCAGAAAAAATAATCAGGTGTTTTTTCCACAGTCGTTGATAATTCTTATAGTATATTCACTATACTGCAGTTTACACCACACAAGTCAATCTCTAGTTATATTATTTTCTCCTATTTCCCCAGATGTTGTTTAGGTCACACTTCTGCATCAAAATAGCAAAAGAAATCTAATTTGAGGATAAATATCACACCTGTACTGTGTCTTTCACTGACCTGAGCTCAGTGCTAAGACTGGAGACTATTAATATTTGAATGATTAATATTCATCTAATTAGCTTAGGTTATATGTTTTTGGAAATTTGTCTTGGGGCAAAGAGAGGAACAGCTATGCACTCAAAACATTTATTTATTAAGGCCTAGAATTAAGACCTATTCCAGAGGTTATTCCAATAGATAAAATTGCATATATATAATATA